CTGAATATGGTAATACTAATTGTTGAATACTGGTTTTCTGAATATGGTAATACTAATTGTTGGATACTGTTTATATGGATATAGCAGTACTAACAGTTGAATACTGGTTTCCTGAATATGGTAATACTAATTGTTGAATACTGGTTTTCTGAATATGGTAATACTAATTGTTGAATACTGGTTTTCTGAATATGGTAATACTAATTGTTGGATACTGTTTATATGGATATAGCAGTACTAACAGTTGAATACTGGTTTTCTGGATATGGTAATACTAATTGTTGGATACTGTTTATATGGATAAAGCAGTACTAACAGTTGAGTACTGGTTTTCTGGATATGGTAATACTAATTGTTGGATACTGTTTATATGGATATTACAGTACTAATTGTTGAATACTGGTTTTCTGAATATGGTAATACTATTGTTGGATACTGTTTATATGGATATAGCAGTACTAACAGTTGAATACTGGTTTCCTGAATATGGTAATACTAATTGTTGGATACTGTTTATATGGATATAGCAGTACTAACAGTTGAATACTGGTTTCCTGAATATGGTAATACTAATTGTTGGATTACATTCTTACCACTAGACCGTCTGTTTGTTTGTTACACTTCCCTTACGTTAAGACCAAAACATTAACATTATGAAGGTACAAAATGTGATGAAGAAGCTTACAAGTTTGAAAGGTGTTGGAATTAGAAAGTCTAAGCCTTCTCTGATCAATAGGAAGCTCTGTGGGTCGCACTGCTCCTCCTTGCCATGTAAACTTCTGATGGTTTACCATGTGATCTGCGGAAATTTCGTGCCCACCCACTGGTTTAGCCAGGTTATGTTGAAGGCTACGTTCCAGCATGATTTTCTTACAGATGTCTCTTAGGGTGTTAGCAATAATTCGAGCAGGAATGTCACATCGGAAAACGTGGCACATATGCTTTCGGGTAGACCTGTCACGAGCCACGTAAGCAAAGTCCCTAGACACAAGACAAGTACAGTATTTTATTCCAAATGTTATAGCTGATCCGAATTGGATTCAATAAGGATCAATAGTTTGAAATTTTAAAACCCATTGTTTAACTTAAAGTTCTATTCCATGGCATCAATATCAGCCTATGGTAGTTAATCCACTCTTTTTCTTTAAGATGTTAGGTACCTACATAAAATACGGTTAATTGAATAAACCAACATTAGATTATTGATTTCTGGTACTGCATGCACAGCCAAAATCAATATAACATGCAAAATAACAGAATAAAAAAAAAAGACAAGACTTCATATTGCAATGTTAACAAAGCACAAAATAAAAGCAAACACATTTTGTGAGAAAAATTTTCAAAAGAATACAAGTTAGAAGCATCCACACACACACTCCAGTTTTACACAACTTATTCAAAACAATATTTCTATTCATACATTTTGTGTTACACTCTGATTGCTCACTAATTATAACAATCAATAGGTCCTAATTACATAACTCATATATAGTCATTAATACAGAAATATATAGTATGGCTTGTTTGCCTCGAAAGTAAAGGGAGTTTGCCCTACACTTAACAGGGACCGAGTATTATATCAAATTTTTAATACAACTATCAAGTGAAATAATCATCCACAAATACAGTTATACTTCTCATGTTTTTCAGTTCACATTTTTATTATATCTTAAGGACTTTCATTCACACCAACACTGCTAAAGATTCTTCCATACTCAGCGTGTCTTTCATGCAAAAGCAAGTTTAGAAAGAGATGAAATTCAAGGGTTCTTTACCTTTCCCTAAACCGAAGCATCAACGACGTACACGAAGGGATAGACAATTGGAAAAAAAAACAAAAAACAATTAATAATTTTACTAATGCTTTAGAAAATGTGATTGATAACTAATACATATTCAATTTTAAAAACTGATTGTTAAACATATATATACTGTCCTATAAAACTACCACACATCTCATACCAATGTGAAATGCACCACCAGCGAGTACAAATATAGGTAGATCAGTAGCATCAATGTGTGTGTGCAACATACAGAATTGTGAATTATGTAAGACCAAAGATAAGAAATTACAATGTATTTGAAAATTTCATATATGATAAGACCATATCAAAGACTGATAAACTTGATATCACAAGATCAAAAATATATTCAGACCAGTTGAATGTGCTGTCTGTCAGAGCTAGATAAACATTTCCTAAACGTACTATCTGTTAGAGATAGACAAACATTTCCTGAAAGTACTGTTTGTCAGAGCTAAACAAACATATGCTGAAGGTACTTGTTGTCAAAGCTAGTCAAACATTTCCTGAAAGAACTGTTTGTCGATGGTTTACATTACACAGACATCTTTTCAATACTGGATATGGGGTTCCCGGATTGACCTCTCAATTTCTTATATTAACGTGTGCCCCATTCATGGGTCTGGGGGGTTATTGATCCCTCCGGCCTCATGAACTTGAAGTGAAGATGGTATGATCCTCTTTTCTACCCCACCAGATGGCTGGGTTTGGGACTGTAATTGACTTGCTGGTGGTATGATCCTCTTTCTTACCCCTACATGGATGTCAGTACCCGGTGGCTGAGTTTTGGATTGTTGTTGACTTATTGACTTTCCAATGGTATGATTTTCATCCTACCACCTCATGGATGTCGGTTCCAAGCAGCATAGGTTTTGGATTGTAATTGACTTGCCGGTGGTATGATCCTCTTTCCTACCCCAACATAGATGTCTGTTCCCAGTGGCATGGGTTGTGGATTGTAGTTGACTTGCCTTGTATTATCTGTCATGCCCTAGCCACTCTACACCTAGGACACATCCTTTTAATTTTATCCTCATTTATATTTTGTGCGATAGAGTTGCATAAATATTATATGATTTGGATCACTATCCGACCTTAGTTCTCTCCCACTTGGATGTGCTCCTCTGTTTTCTGTCCATATGTGCAACATTTATCTACAATGGGCAAAGAGTATACCTGGTTCAGAAGTGGTGCGGTCCCTCACATCAGACCTTAAAATCTGACTGTCTCCTCTTAGGGAGTGTCTTTCAGTCTTTTTCAAAGGATACTTCTTTCTTTCCCTCGCACTTGTCCCTCCACCTATTGAATGTGGGATTCTAGCTATTTATGTGAGTGGAGGTAATGTACCATATTGGAAGTTACAGTTTTCCTATACTGAAAATGTATTTCCAATAGGTACTTACCTCCTCTCCCACTGAAAACCAGTGCTTCCATTTTCTGTCAAACTGAAAGTGATAGTTCAGTAGGATTGAATAGAGGGAGTCACATGCATCATGAGAGTATGTCGCCCTCTTATTGGTGGAGGGTTGATGCATAATGATTTCCATGAGAGATGCATTGGAATCAGTTTATTCCAATGGAGGGGAGATAAAAGTTCTGTAGCATGCATAAAAAGATGGTATGATCCTCTTTTCTACCCCACCAGATGGCTGGGTTTGGGACTGTAATTGACTTGTTGGTTCAACACTGAACGAAAATAGCTATTTATGGGAGCGGAGGTAGCTATTGGAATTACGTTATCACTATAGGACAATTATAACTTCTGAAAGACAGCACTGTCAAGAAATATTCACAAAAGGCATGTTCAGGAAATGTTTAAGTTCTGACAGACAGTGTTGTCAAGAAATGTCCATAAAGCTCTGACAAACAGTACTTTCATGAAATGTTTGTCACAGTTTACCAATCAGCATAAGTCCTCACATGTATATTACAGATATTTATATTCCTTCCTCAATTATACTCTTGTTACTCCATCCATGTTGTGGGTCACAGTGGAGTGATGTGCAGATTATTATGGTTCTTTCCCTTCTGCTATCCCTTGATGTTTCTTATTCCCAAGATGTTATTGTGCTTGGGGTGGTTCCTGTCATTTTGATTTTGAGTGATTAACTCTGAATCCAAAACTTAGCCACTGGGAACCGACATCCAGGTTGGGGTAGGATGAGGGATCCTAATCATAGGAGTGAACTGGAATTTTGAAGGTTCATTCCCATTTATATTTGTTTCATAATGGAGGATATCACATGATCTACACCTGTAGAAGACCACTGCCCTACTCTCAACTATATTTTGTTTGTATTTTATATTTCATTAACCCATTCAGGAGGATGCCTCCATGGTCTACCACCCTAGCAGCTTGGAATTGAAAAGTGGTAAAGACTCTCAAACTCCACTAGAAGAAAAGAAGGGAAAACACATGGTGGAGAGTCTGGAGGAATTACAACACCCAAGATAGTGTAATGGGTGATCACAGAACCCTATTTTTAAAAGCAGAGCATACCAAGTTTTTCAACAAAAGGCATGGCAGGGTTGGGCAGCTATCCTCTTCTGCTTTACTCATGTAGTCCATGGGTGAGTCCATTTCAGGACATGCAAGTTTATTAAGCAATTTCATTATGAGGATAAACTTACAAGTGATCTTGTGGAACACCCCATCTATGCAGTGTGTATTGCGTGGCCATAGAAATATAATATGTATGTCGACATGGTCTTACAGTGCGGATTTGATTGGTTAAAGAATACCTGGTCAGGCACCACTTGCCACAGAGTGGAATCCAGACAATGAGTAATAATGAAAATGGAAATAGGCCTCTGTAAAGATAATAAAGAATAATAAAAAAAGAACTTACCCAGTTAAAGTCTCATTGAAGTCTGAAGAATGGCTACAGGCAGAAGATGAGAGGCCACCCAGAACAAAGTATGGGACGAAGACGATATCGAATTAAAAGCCAAACCCAATTGGTGAGGTTGGAAAGAGAAAGATCACAAACAGAGAATGGCTGCCAAGGAATAAAGAGGCTGGAAGGAAGTCAAGTGAGGAAGTCCACATGACGAGAAACAGTGGGTTGATCAGGGGAAAACCCTGGACCCAGAAACCAATGATGTAAAATATTCCATTTGCATTGACAAACTTCCATGGAGGAAGGAGAAATGAAACAAGCCAGAAAAGAAGCTAAACTGTCAGGAGGAGAAGCAGATCTCCTC